TTGTAAACTTTGATAAATAATGAATAATGAAATAGTTTGTATCTTTGTATCAAAGTTTTTCAACCAATGATCTCTCTTAACAAATAATACAAGTTAAGTATGAAGAGAGATTTACACTTTAATAAAAGTGTTGGCAAAAAAAACCTTTATCAAGAATTGAAGAATAGATGAGATTGAGAAAGTTTCTTTGCAAAAAGAATTCTTAATGAAATAGATGAAACTAGTTTTGATCAATCAAGAAATTCTTTGTATCAAAGTTTTCAAGCCAATGATCTCTCTTAACAAATAATACAATTTAAGTATGAAGAGAGATTTACACTTTAAATCAAAATGTTGGTAAAGAAAACTTTTATAAAAAATGAAGAATAGATGAAATTTGTGAAGAGTTCTTTGCAAAAAAGATTTCTTGATAAAATGAATGAACTATGTTGAATCAATTAAGAAACTCTTTTGTAATAAATGAAATAGAATTTATACTCAAGTAAACTCAATGATTTCTCAATAAAAAAGCTCTCAAAAATCTCTTCTAAATTGGTGTGAATCAATGGAGAAGAGAGGGTCATTTATAGAGCAAAAAAGGGTTGCTCTCGGGTAAGTTCGGTTAATCAATTTGAAATTATAGCCGTTACTTTCGTTCGACCGAAGTCATCCGACAGGCCGGATAGCCTTAAGTATTTTGATCATATCTTTTGGTCCCGATATCCGATTAAGGTGATTCAAAATGGGTTAGAAATCTGAATCAAGGGGCTACAACTTTGTGTCAGAAATCATCTTCAAATTAGATCATTTTCTATGTTAAAAATCTGTCCCAATAGGAGATTGAAGTCAACTGACAGGCCGGACAGCTTTCAGTATTTTGATCATATCTTTTTCTCCGGATATCCAATTAAGTTGATTCAAAATGGGTTAGAAAGATGACTCAAGGGGCTACAACTTTGATTCAGAAATCATCTTCAAATTTGATCATTTTATATGTCAACAATCTGTCCCAATATGAGATTGAAAATCGGAGTATAACTTTTTGATTGAAAGTTGAAGTGTGTTCTTTTGAGGGACGTTTGAAAATGATTTTTCAAGGTTTTTGATAGATTACAAATGTTCAAAATCATTTTCATGTCAAAACAATTTATGCAAGTGATAAATTTATACGAAATACTTGAACTTTATACACTTACTAAACATTGACGAGTTATACCTTTACATATAAAAATAAGGTTCGATAAATAACTCCATCTTCAATGTTCTTGATCTCTTTGAGCATCTCTTTAACTTGTATCTTGATTTGCAATTTTGTTAAGTTCCAATTTGATTGTCGCATGCAAATCACTATTGTCTCGAATGATTTGTCTTGAATGATCATTTAAACTTCACTTGTACTTCATTTGAGTGTGAATAATAATCTTTATAACTTTGAAGGTTTAAACACTCAATTCAATTTGTTAGTAAACAAGATGGACTTGTTTGTTATAACCAAAACATTAAGGTCATGATCAACCATAGGTCAACAGATTCGACCGGTCAAGATCACCCGACATGCATCCGACATATATAGGACGATCGAAATATGTCATCAAGTGGGCTCATGTCACTCGAATGATTTAGAAAGAACGAACGAAATAGTTTCTTTTTATCAGAATAATTCAGAGGTTGTATATAGTCATAAGAACACAAATATTTTCATAGTTTCTTTCGATTGAGATCATCCTACATATGTCGGATGCTTATTGAGTGATCGTGGACGGTTGAATTATCGTTTTTAACATAAACGATATAATTATCGTTTTATATAAACTAAAATGATATATATGTCGTTTTAGTTATGATTTAAACTAAAACAATATCAATGTCGTCAAAATTATACTGAAACGATATGGTCATCATTATGTATCAAATCCACAAAATAATATAACGACGTCCATATCGTTTCAGTACAAATTTGACAAGTTTGAAACCGTTCCAGTTCAAATAATAACTACAACGATATAGATATCGTTTCTTTTCATGCAAAATGATAATTATATTATTTTTGGCTAAAAATAATGATTCGACATCCACAATCACCCAGCATGCCTTCAACATACGTAGAACAATCGAAAAGGCCATCAAGTGGGTTGATGTCACTCGAATGATTGAGAAAGAACGAACGAAGATACTTTCTTTCTATCGGAATAGTTCAAAGGTTGTATATAGTCATGAGAACACAAATATTCTCATAGTTTCTTTTGATTGAGATCGAACCCGCTTGATAACCTATTTCGATCGTCCTACATATGTCGGATGCTTGTCGAGTGATCTTGGACGGTCGAATCATCATTTTTAACAGACGCGATATAATTATCGTTTTATATAAACTAAAACGATATATATGTCGTTTTAGTTATGATTTAAACTGAAACGATATCAATGTAGTCAAAATTATACTGAAACGATATGGACATCGTTATGTATCAAATTCACAAAATAACATAACGACATCCATATCGTTTCAACACAAGTTTGATGAGTTTGAAACCTTTCTACTTCAAATAATAACTACAACGATATAAATATCGTTTCTCTTCATGCAAAACGATAATTATATCGTTTTGGCTAAAAATAATGACCGATTGTCCACAACTACCCATCATGCCTTCAACATACGTAGGACGATTGAAAAGGTCATCAAGTGAGTTGATGTTACTCGAATGATTTAGAACGAATGAACGAAGATACTTTCTTTCTATCGAAATAGTTCGAAAGTTGTATATAGTCATGAGAACACAAATATTCTCAAAGTTTCTTTTGACTTAGATCGAACTCGTTTGATGACCTATTTCGATCGTCCTACATATGTCAGATGCTTGTCGAGTGATCGTGGACGATCGAATCATCATTTTTAACAGAAACGATATAATTATCGTTTTATATAAAGTAAAACGATATAAAAGTCATTTTAGTTATGATTTAAACTGAAACGATATCAATATCGTCAAAATTGTACTGAAACGATATGGATATCGTTATGCATCAAATCTACAAAATAACATGACGACGTCCATATCGTTTCAGTACAGTACAAATTTGACGAGTTTGAAACCATTCCAATTCAAATAATAACTACAACGTCATAGATATCATTTCTTTTCATGCAAAACGATAATTATATCGTTTTGGATAAAAATAACGATTCGATTGTCAACAACCACCCATCATGCCTTCAACATACGTAGGACGATCGAAAAGGTCATCAAGTGGGTTAATGTCACTCGAATGACTTAGAAAGAACGAACGAAGATATTTTCTTTATATCGGAATAGTTCGAAAGTTGTATATAGTCATAAAACGATATTAAAGTTGTTTTTTTATTACAGTAATGATGTCTATATCGTTATGAAAATCAGCATGTATTTCGTACTGAAACGATATCCAAAT